GTTACATCTAGAAATAGGCAGTAGTCTGTTTGGGATTTAAAATAAATTTAAAAAAAAAAATCAGTTTTGATGACACTGAAAATCTGTTTATGTATAAAGGTGGATCAAGGATCAATAAGGGCTGGGCTGGTGAGCAGATGCAATGATTGCACTGGTATAAAAAAAACTTTATAAATTCCTATTCCTAGTTTTCAGGGAAATTTAAGATTCAATTTCAGTAGTAAATTAAAGTCAACAGGTCATAGACACAGCATGCTTATCGTGCATTTGTACTTGCCAGTACAAGGTAAAGCTATTTTTACTCTAAATAGTGCCATAACTAAAAAAAAAAACTAAAAACTAAACTAAAAAAAAAAACGAACTAAAAGTGGATGCTGTCATGTGTGCGTGTGTTTCTCCCCGCAACCACAGGGGGAGACACCTCTCCCGGCACGGTGAACGCAGGAGTTTTGCAGGAACCTCTGACGTGTCAGACTGTCGCCATTTTCCTAAGGAAGGAAACGCCTAGAGGGAACAAAACATTTCAACTGAGTAAGTGCAAGAGAGACTTTTTGTTAAAGAAAAAAGAAAAGGTAGCTTTTACAATATCTGAAGGTAAATGTACAAAACCCCATGTGTTGTCAAGCAAAATCGGCTTTAGTGTGTGCGATTCCGATCACCATAGTCAGAAAAATCTGACTTGCACCTTGTTAGCGGAATTATCTGAATCGACGAGTCTGTCCTTCCTTTCTGTGTGCGTGGGAGGGTTTTTTGTACTCTCTCGCACATGATTTCATATTCAGTGTAACTGGGAAACACATAAATAGAAATGCAATTGTTGTTTTTATTTCTCAAGTTGGTACTCTTAAAATCTGAGCGGGTCGGACGACTATTAGCGTTGCACCGTAACAAGCTAGCATCACCGTTTGTTTACCTGCTCTGAAAGTTTTTGCTCCGAGCTAAATATTGAAAATGCTCCAGTTAGCCGCGTAAAATATTCGGTTCCAAACTGAAAAGACAAATACTGGTACAGGGTGACAGCTAGCGAGTTTCCTTATAATTTCATTTAGTAGCTTTCAGGAGTCACGGAGCGTTTAACGTCCCTTTTATCGAGGTTGGTGCTACCACGAGTTTCTGCCTTTAAGTAGAATTCAGAAGCTCATATATTGCATATAGTATACATCACACTGATTAATGCGAGTGCGATAACAGAAAACTGCTTACAGATAATTGTGTTTAGCACAACAGTAGCATCATACTGATTTCTGAGGATATTTAAAAATGTCCTAAAAGTGTCTAACAGCCTTTACAGTTGCACTCCCATGCTGCCCACGTCACTCAATAACAGCAAAATTTCAAACATTCACCTTTAATATTTTGACACAAGCAAATGTAGCTGTCTGTAAGATGATTTGATCTATCCATAAGATCCATCTCACTGATTAGATGAGGCTAACAAAACTTTAGTCATGGACATAGACTTTATTTAATCCCACACAGAGGAAATTCACTTGTTACAATAGTATAAGGGACAGGAAGAAAAAGCAAGTTAGAGATATATATTAGAAAAATAAAAATTGAAAAAAAAATAGTGTACAAAAAATACCAAATTGCTATATGCAGAAAAATGCACCACTGTTTTTTTTTTTATATGTACATTAAGTGCAGTGGGAGTAATAATAATAGTAATACATATGTATTTTTTAAAACTGTATTTAAGTTGCACACAATATTTTTTATTTAATGTATGGCGATATTGAAGTTTGTTCTAGCCTGGATGGTGTAATCAACACATCTCAGACCTTCAGTTTACTGTCACAGCAATCAGAGGCAGTGTGTCCGTCATTTGGGAGGTTGGAACACGGTTTGGTGTTTTCTTATGTTTACCAGCAGCACGTCTCTGTATTGGAGCTGAACAACAACTCTCTTTCTTCACAGGTTTTCTTTTTGTTTTTTTGGCCTTTTTGGGTTCCTGTCACCAGCCGCCATGGGGAATATGTTTGCAGGACTGTTTAAAATGTTCGGGAAGAAGGAGATGAGGATACTCATGGTGGGTCTGGATGCTGCTGGAAAGACAACGATTTTGTACAAGCTTAAACTCGGAGAGATTGTGACTACCATCCCTACAATAGGTAATACAAAAACTGTTTTACATGACACAGGAAGGAAGCCTAAAGACTCGGTTTGTTTTTAATGTGAATATTTGTTTCATATCTACAGGTTTTAATGTGGAAACGGTAGAATACAAGAACATCAGTTTCACTGTATGGGATGTCGGCGGTCAAGACAAAATTCGACCGCTGTGGCGTCATTACTTTCAAAACACTCAGGGTAGGTTTTTTCCTCATCGCCTGATATTTGATGGCTCATGTTAGGACTGCTATTTGAACATGTCTTCTGGTTTGTATTTAGAAGATTTACACCCATTTATTTGATTGCACTTGCTCCAGGTCTTATCTTTGTCGTGGACAGCAATGATAGAGAGCGATGTGGAGAGGCTCGTGAAGAGCTCCTGAGAATGTTGGCAGAGGATGAGCTGCGTGACGCCGTGCTGCTAGTGTTTGCCAACAAACAAGTAAGTCATCAAGTCTTTTATATAAGCAGGTGTACATCATAAACACTTTTCACCTTTCCTTTGTCTAATGATTTCTCACCTTCTTTTTTTTTATAGGACCTCCCAAATGCTATGAATGCAGCAGAACTCACAGACAAGCTCAATCTTCATTCCCTGCGCAACCGACAGTGGTACATCCAGGCGACCTGTGCCACCACCGGAGATGGCCTCTATGAAGGGCTGGACTGGTTGTCTAATCAACTCAAGAACCATTAATGATTACGGCATTTTAAAATCCAATCTCCTCCACCCCAATCTCTGACCTTGCTCTTTACTTTTAAGATCTTGCTAAACTGAGTTATGTTGTACTGGAAGCTGCTCTCGTGTCAGCTGTTATTACCACAAACATGCAGGCCAGTGGTGGGGGTGGGCTATTCTTGTAAAGCAGCTTTATTTTTATTTTTTTCACATTTTATGTAAGTGTAAATAAAGTTGGTAATGGGGCAGCTTGTTGCACGCTTTAAAATCCTACTGTGGTGATTTGTCTTTCTGGCTGTTGGGCAGCCATGTGTGCATTGAATAGAAAAACAAAGGCAGGGACTTTACCAGCAGATAAAGGTTACACGTACTGTAAGGACTGATTTTAATTTTTTATTAGAAACAAAGAATCATACACTGATTATGCACTACTTGCAACTACTACTGGTAATTTTTATCAGTAACTAGAAGTACCAGCGCCTCAAAATAAGTATAAACACTGGCATTGACTATATGTACTGACATTGCCCCCCCACCTCCGTCACGCACAATCTGTGAACACCTACCAGCCTTTGTTGTTTTAAACTAAGAAATGTTGCATTGACCTCACATCTACCTGCTTTGGGGTAACAGGGAGGAGCCAGCCTCTTGAGCCTGCATTGAATTCTTGTATTTTAGAGTCTCAGGTTGAATATGTGCTGCCTTTGCAATGTACTTGTTAGCAAAACTGCATGATGTAGTCTGTCTTTAAGGGCATGCATTATTATCTACTGGGTGTTTACATCATACAGCTGCAAAGGAACTCTTAGCCCACTAATTACTATAGCCATACACTGTTAATTTGTTGTAAGGAGTGGCTTAGCATCCTCACTAAGGGCTCTATTAACGTTTGCCTTTTATTGAACTCAAACCTGGGAATTTGCATTGTGCAGCTATGACATTAGTGCCAATGTTTTCCTTTGCAGCACGTTGGGTTTTCTTTCGTAAACTGGCCGTCCATAAATGCCTTTTTTTTAAAATATGAGACACATCACTTCCCCGCCTCCCCCCAAAACTTATTTGTAAAGGGTGTGGCTGTTTTAACTGATTGCATCGTTTGATTTTTAGCTGCCTAAAATGTAATGTTATTCTCTTCTGGTTGTCTGTGTTCTTGTGTAAAGCTTGATACTGCAATTGATTTTCATTTTGTTTCACACCATGTAATAAAATCTAAGTTTATGCTGCTTTTTGTAGGCTGTCCCTTGACATCAACTATTACAGAATTAAATGAAGTTTTAGACTATTTAGACAAAAGGATTAGGCATCACCTTGGCATTTTTCTGCTCAGCGAATCAATCTAAAACAGAATATGAGAACACGTATGTGCAGCAATTAATTGGCAATTGATTTTAGTTGCAGCATTAATAGAATTACTATTACAAAGGCCCCAAACTTGTGTCTGTGACTTCTTAAGGCTATCACCCCTTGACCTAGGAAGAAATATGTTGCCCCAGGTGATGAAACCACCCAGTGCTTAGGTTAAAGCAGTTATGTGAAGAGCACACCCTGTTTCACATTGTGTAAGGGTGGCAATCTAGGACCACATTCTTGCAGGTTGATTAGGCTGCTACGGTTAATGCAGCCAAGCCTGTAAAACATGGCAGGAGAGTATGGTAGCGGTGGAAGAGGAGGTAGTTTGAGTCTTGGGTCCTTCATAGGGTGGCTTTGTCTAGCCTTCTCTCCTGCTGCTTCATCAGTTTGGTTTGTGTGTGGCGGTCTAACGGTACTCGGCCATATAAAAAAAAAAAAAAAGGGCCAGCCTAGTTTTTTGCACTCTTCTTTATGAATGCCTTGCTCTTTTTTTAGTGTACCCCCCCAGGTGCCAGTCCACAGAATACCCTCTTTCAGACCAATTCAAGGCAAATGCAAACACTACTCTATTATGACCAGTAAAGAGCATTCCAATGGTATCGCACCAGTCGGAGCTGAACCTAGAATGACGAGGGATTACGTAGAAAGGAAAATGGCCAGTGTCTGAGTAGTAGGATGAGACGGAGATGTATAGATGGAAAAAAAGGTGTCAAGAAGCATCTTGAAGGAGCAAATGTTTAGGTTTTCCAATATGAAAATGTAATCAATAGAAGTTTGTGTTGAAGGATTTTTGCCGGCAAGTGCTTAGGCAGTCAGGTGAACGGCTCGAATAGAACTTTCACTCAAAAGAATGGGGTTCAAGTCTATGCATTTTATTTGTTTTGATATGGGTTTTTTCTCCCTGTCACTGTTTGGTTAGGCACCAAAACTACATGCTTAGATTCAAGAAAAGAAATACTTATTAACATACACTCTTTTACCAGTTTGATTATAATCGTAGAAGGCTTCTTTGGCAGCAAGCCCTTGAAGCTACATTCCTGTGCAAAAAGTGCCAGTTGCACCATGTCTTTATGGTAACCTAAAAAAAAAAAAAAGAAGACACGTTCATGTAAATAACTGAATGAGTCATGTCATGACAGGGTCATGTAAGAATTTCCATGAGGGATTATTGTGTGTGCTTGCAGTAACAATGATCAGGGTTGAACTAATGTTAAATAAAAGCTTTGAGGACAAGGAAGAAAATCATTCCACTTGCTTTGGAAAAAAAGTTTCTATATTTATCCAAGATAAAACCCCCAAAACACAAAGCTTAAAGCAATACAGAGTACTTGATATTTGATGATTAAATAACTCGACGTGATCAAAAACTGTCAAACCAAAACACCAGTGTCACATGAGCAACCTTCTGAATGAAGAAGTTAAAACCTGAGGCTAAAGTCTGTTACACTGATTAGAGTCCATCCACAGTCTGTTTGGCTGTTCAAGTAAATAAGGTCTTGAGGGTCTGTCAAACTGCTGTAGAGCACTCTGTCCACATTATGCATGTTTGAATCGGGGGTGGGGGTGGGCACGACATTAGTCGTCCGAGTCTGTGTCATGGCGCCGCCTGTGGCTTTGTGTGGCACCAGCAGGGGCCTTCTTGTGGCTGGCAGGGTTGCGAGGGACAGGAGATCCTCCATCAGAGGAGTCTGTGTCGTGCCGCTGCCTTCGATGATGGGGGATGGAGCGCTGTCGCTCGGCCTTTGCTCCCCCCCTTGAGTGGCTGTCATGGGGTCTGGCTCCGCTCTGACTAACGTATGATGGATTATGATGATGGTGGTCCTTTCTGTGCCTAAAAAGTACAAGGAAACAAATAGTGTTGGGATTAATGCTGTGAGGGTATGGAAGAATAAACGGCACCTGCAAGTGGAAATAACTGGCTGTTTTTTTTGTTTGATAAAATTGTGTTCAAGGTTATTGTTATTCTTTTCCTATCGCACAAGTTACTGAAGCACATAAATAACAATGTTTAATCTGCCTCTTCAAATATTGAAATATAAAGAAAGTCTTGTGACGCATGCACCCCATATATAACACAACAAGTGAAGTTGTTGCATGTAAGACAGTGCCTCACTGCCCTCTAGTGCTGACACAATAATTTGGCTCCCAACAAAAAGACTGCAATGTAATTTAAAAATATAAACAGGGCTGCACATAAGTGGTTCGCTATCAAAATAAAAGATCCGCACCAGATAAGTTGTAACGCACGTTTGCGTACATAAGATGTTCTGGAGGAGGACAGACATTTGTTTAGAACTCTTAAAGATGTCGAAGAAGCAAGCTCCGTAAGCAAATACTTTGGTGTTTCTTAATGTAAACCTCGTTCACCCATTCACACACCTACTTGAGGAAGTGCTTTTTTTTCATGCCTAAGCACTTTTAACCTAATACACACACGCTCACATTCCGATGGACGCATTGAGGGCAGACTGGGGTTCTTTGCCCAAAGATACTTCCAATTAGAAGTGGGAGCAGCCAGGGATTGATCTACCTCCACAGCCCCCGTCTTTAAAAACACGATTCTAAAAACATATTTTGAGTTTGGTCCAGAGTCCAGACTCATGCTGAATAGTGTTTGAACGTTAAATGCAGAAATAAACCAACCTCTTCCTGTTGTCCTCAGAATCGGAGGAGGATGAGTCTCTCCTTTTTCGTTTTTTCTTTTTTTCCTTTTTCTTTTTCTCCTTTTTGTTCTTTTTTTCTTTGTTTTTCTTATTACTGTCATGCCTTCAGAGAGGGAAAATAAAGTAGTGAAGATTACATTTCAACAAATTACATTATTTTTTCATTTCAAATGTATTATTATCAGTATTATTATTATTTATGCATTCTCATTCATTTGTTCACTGGCTATTATTAAAAGAAAATTTAAGAAACTGGACACAGGGTCAGATTTTGTCCACTAAATCAAAAAGTTTGTGTGTCTGCAACATTTTACAAGTAGTAATTATCCAGTCTCACCTCTGTTCCTCCACCTGTTTTACTGCACTCTCATTTGTTTTTGTTGCTGAAGCTTCTGTATGACCTTCAGTCCTGACGTGCTGGACAAAAAGCATTTCTTAATTTTTGCACAGAGTGTAAAATGCCTCAAAGCAGAGTAATGTCTAAGCACCACTACCCCAAAAAAGGTAATAACCCAATCTTACTGTAAAAACCGGCAAGCCCATTTTAGCAACCTCCTTTTCTTTTTGGGACAGGACCATTCTCCGAGACCCTGCACTGCAGAAGGAAACATTGAAAACACAATAAGACGCTTTAGAATCAAAACATTGAGAAAAGAAGCTCTTTTGACACCACTTTTTCCATGATGACAGTTTACATTTTTGCTGACTTATCAAATACACTAACTGGCCACTTTGCTAGGTACGCCCGTTCAACAAATATCTAATCAACCTGTCACAAGGCAGCAACTCAGTGCATTTAGATGTGTAGACATGTTTAAGAAAATGTGCTGAAATTTAAACTGAGCATCAGATTGGTGATGTCATGGAGTTTTTACTGTTTTATTTGATTATGCTTCAAATGTTATGTTCACATATTTCACCAGACACATATTTCACTGACCCTGTGACATTTACTGCAAGAGATCAGCACAGAAATACACATCCGCAGAAGTTGACTCGCAGTATCTTATTCTTAGAAACTGACTTGTAGCACACACACACTTCGTAACACACACACACACACAGCTTACACACAGACAGCATCAGGACCTGCATAACAGGAAATGTGATTATATTTGCATATTGACGATGTAACCTATAAATAAAGAAGATGTGCCTCGCACTGTGTGTTTACTCTCTGAGTTTCACCCGTGCCACACGTTATCAGTATCAAGTGTCTTAGTGTTGATTATTCACCTGACTGTTTGTTAACTGTATATCTCTGACAGGTGAAGAAAAGTGACACTGAGCAAGGCATTGGTGTTGGTCCCAGATGGGCTGGTCTGAGTTTTTCAGAAACTCCTGATATACTGGGATTTTCCAACACAACAATCTCTAGCGTTTACAGAGAATAGTTTGTTTTGTTTTTTTTTTTTTTACTTAAAACATAAGATATCCAGTGAGGTACTATCATGCCAATATAGACCAAGATCTCTGAGGAATGTTTCCAGCATCTTGTTGAATCTATAACACGAAGAATTTAAGTATTTCTGAAGGCAAAATGGCGTTGAACCCTAATAACCCCCAACAAACTAGCAAGGGGGTACCTAATAAAGTGACCAGTGAGTGTATGGTTAATTTAAAACAAGAGTCCCTGATAAAGATTAAACTACCTTCACCTTCAGGTTCTACCTTCACCTTAGTGATGCATACTGTCCTTTTAACAAATATTCATTTATTTTTATGTTGTTGCTTTTCTATATTTATTTATTTTACTCCAAAAATAAAGCACCTTTAAACATCACTGTTTCATGTGGAAAAAGCAAACATAAAAAGAAGTCACCTGGAGCTTCCTAAACCAGAAACACGGTCAACATTTCTCTCATCGCCATCAGCCTCGTCCCTCCTGCAAACCTCTACAAGGTCCTGCCATAGAAAGTCAAATAAAAATTCACATCACTAAGCTTTTGAACAATAGCAGATTTTTTTTTTAAAAATCATTCATAATTTAAGTCACACACCTCTTTGGTTAGACCAGTCGGTTGTCTCTTTATATTCTTGTGCCCTCTAAATTGATAATGGAAAATGAGAAATTACTAAACTGGTCAGTTTAAACTTCCTGTTTTATCTCTTTTATGGGAAGTTGTACATACAGTGCAGCCATCAACGCTTCTTCCTCTGCTGCCTTGACAGCAGCAAGTTCCTCCTCTCTGGACAAAGGTGCACCACCCTTTTTGTCCTTTGCATACCATGTCAGATCTTTGCCTTTTTGCCAACGCCCCACTGGTGCCATCAACGAGTTACCTGGAAACAGAGGAAGTGATGACACGTGATAAAGATTACGGATTCCAGAACATGATGTATGATAATTTCCTTTTCATTCTTAAGTAGGGCTGTGCGATATGACCATATCCAGATAAAAAACATATATCGTCCGATAATGATATAAATAACAAAAATTTATCATTTTCTGTAAATTCTGTGAATCTCGGGTAGCTGAAGTGTTTCCAGCTGGGCGTCGTGTATCTGGAGTCGAGTGTTTTACCGATGCATGAAACTATACATTTTTAGACATAGGTTGTAACGGCCGCCGTTTTCTTTGCGAGTATTTATTACACGGTGTGCTGCAGGGAAAAGCCTGTTCTAACGTTTAAGTCTAAGGTTTATTCAGTTTATTTTGAAAACTCTCAACAGGATCTTGAGCTTTATTGTGAAAGGTTTATGTTTTGGGCCGTAGCATAACACTGAATGAAGCCAGTGTTACAGAAATCCAGATGGTGTCAACATTGTTTTTTCCCCAAATAGTCAAGAATTGTGCATTTTTGTTTTGAAATTATTTACAGTACGTATAGGAGGGTAAAGTCAATTAAAACAATGTCTTGTGTACACACGATAATTGTGTGTGTACAAAAATGTGCACAAACACAAACTTTATTGGATTTTAGGGGCCCCTCACTAAAACGACTTATTCATTAGTCATGGCAAAGATGATGTTGGTATTGTTAGTATTGTCCCTTTTTTAAGTTTCCTTATTATGTACAACTTAAAAGAAAAAATACTTTTTTTTAATCTTTCTATTAGCATCCTCCCCTCCACAGCCACGTGTTTAAACAATATATTTTAACATATGCTGATAACATCATCTATAATGACCTTACTGTACAATAATATTAATATGATGCTTTTCCATGAGTGCTTTTTAAAATGCACGTTCCTGAACAATTTAAGTAGGGTTACTTTTGGGAGTCCTATTTTTCATCGGTGGTGGCCGCTATGTAGGCTAGCTGCTGTTGGTTTGCTGGGCATGCTGGAAACTGTGTAGGCTCACATAACGGAGAGACTACGTGTCTGTGCTCAGGGGTGGGAGCAATGAAAGCTAGGACTTGCTTTGTGTAGACTGAAAGACAAGGCGAAAACCCAGCCATTAGACCCATCCAGACTTCGTGTAATGAGGGAAACGACAACAAAAGGTATGGGAGAGTTGCATGTGAGGCCGTGGTGTGCGTAGTTTAAGAGCTCAGTTAGAGCGATATGAGCAGCACCGCATCTGGTTGCTGCTGATAGCAGACAGATGGCTACTATCTCCTGTACTTACCGAGATAGTTTTCTCTGTGTTTGTCGACTTTCACTTCATTCCAGTTGAACTGGTCCTGACCTCCCCGTACACCTCCAGATCTCGAGGAACCGAACATTTTAATCGGGTATCTCTAAAAGTTAAGGCAAAAACAACGTCCTGTTAACGCGAAGAGCTAACTTTTAGCCACGTTAGCACATGACCCGCGCGACCGGCTAGGCCTTCAGCTAACACTCATCCGGGGAGTTTTTGTGGTAAGTTTAAATTCCCTATGGTTACTAGGACCTGTTGGTGAGAGGCTTGCTTCTTAGTGGTAATGCTTCCTTTGCCTAGAGGCAAACTACTTCCAGTTTCCCCAAGTCTCCGCAGAGCGCAGGGGAAATAGTTTGTTTAAACGCTAGTTAGCTTAAAATCGTTAATATGCGTCTTTAGGTTATAGTAATTACTGCCAGCCCGCGCACATGTCGGTACTGCCGCTTTTGAAGAGGCTGCCTGATTCCAGTTGAAAGCATACATTCACAATAATAATAGCTTTAAAATATCAGCGTCTTCGTCATTATTTGTTTGGCTAATGTTGCTAAAAGTCCTGCTTTTTCAGCATTCTCGCGCGCGCATTCTTGACGCTCGTGAACGTCACTTGTTGGTGTTTTGGCCTGTGGTGATGACGTAGGCAGCACGGATATCTTTAATGGCTCTCGCGGTGAAGACTCGGAGCACAGCAAGGGAGGGAGAAGACACGCAGGAGACGGTGCTTTAAGTTGTGGATTAACGCTATTCCTGTCCCATAATGAGACATTTTTCCAGGCTATTTTCAGGTAGGAATGGGGACGTTTGGTGGGGTTTTCTGCTCTCTCCAAATTGCGTGTTGTGTCACGATATCTGAGCGTGCCATTCATTCCTGGAGTCCCATAAGAGAAGAAGATGGTTCATGTGTTTACCAGAGTGTTTTAAATTAACATGGCTGACACAATGTTACCTGTGGTTTAATTGTTAGCAAGTCTGGTTTGGGAAGTGTGATTCAGGCATGGAATAATGGTAGAAGTGCATTTAAGCCTATTTTAAATCTCCATTTCACTTCCAACAACTTTAACTTCTTGTTACAATAATGTCAGTTTTTATATGGTTATAACATACAGACTTTGCAGTTCCTGTGTGCTATATATTAACATCAAATGCATATGAGAAACAGATGACGAGGCCTCACTATGTGAAAAAGATACGAACTGTTTGTCCTCCTGATTAGAACAAAGCCACTGTTATCTTGATGTTACATAGTGTTAGGGCGACCAGATGTCCCCTCTTTTGTTCTCCTGCCTTTCACACATCTTGAGACAGCGTCCCACATTTTGGCTGGGTCTGCAGGACACACACTTTTCTAAACTCTGGGTCTTACCCAGTAAATATGAAGGGCAGGCTTCTTATTACAGTCAAATTAAGTAAAC